GTGAGACTGGAATGTCGTAGCCAAGTGCGGAGGAGAAATGACGGATGCCTTGGAGGACCGTCATGATGGAATCACTGCGGATCAGACCACCGGAGCCAAAACCGAACTGAAATCCGTGTAACACAAAATCCGAGATGTGCTGCACTTGGTCGACGAGAGACATGCCTTGAAGCCATGGAGAAACACCCCTTCGCGAGGTCCAAACCTGCCACTTGGTTAGTGCCCGCCTGTATTGGTCGAAGGTGGAGCTGGCAACGGAGTGTGCGCGGAGATACGCAGCCAGATATTGGTTAGACCCTGGACGTCCACCGCCGGAGATACCTGTAACCAGCCTAGGGCTAGTGACTCAAACAGCGCTGCAAGCGATGGGTTTGCCGAGGAGCGGGAGCCGGCGTCAGCGCGAACATTGTCAGCACCGGCGATGTGCGACGCAGAAAAGCGGAATCCGAGCGATGTCTCCCACCAGCTTAAGAGGCGGATAATAACCTGGGCGCGGGGGTTACGCGATGCCAGCTTGTTTTGCCATGCCAGCGCAGACGAATTGTCAATACGGAAGTGCACGTGCGTAGGGCGGACTTGATGCGATGAGCGTTTGGACCACCGGGCACCCCAGGCATGAACGGCGAATGCACAGGACAGTAGTTCACGGTAGTTGATATCGAAGCCGTTAGGAACACCCCGGTTGAACTCCGTGATCAATTGGCGTTCCGATACAGTAAATGCGTGCGTCAGCGCTTCCTTGGCGGCGGGGTCGAGAGCGCAGAGGCCGTAGTCGGAAGCATCCATCTCGACCACGATGTCGGGAGATGGCAGCGTGTTGAAGAATTCCAAAGACACATCATTCAGTTGGGGAGTGTGCAGTATCAGCCACCACCACAGTAGATCCGATTTCATATCGTCGGAGACCAGGACGTTCTGAAACCGGTGAAGATGACCTTCCTGTTGGCGGAGGCGCTGTAAGAAAGGTCGAGCGGCCCGGACGCAAGTAGCCACATGGCGCAGGCTACCCGGCAGCGATCGGTATTCCTTGCGAGAGAGTGTCTTGGCGTGAAAAGCAGACGCAACGATCCTGCGAGCCTTACTAATCTTAGTGTCCGGTAAGGCGACCTCTCCGGCCTCCGAATCAAACTCGAGCCCGAGTACGCGCTGGCGCGTGCTCCAGCCGGTAAACTTCTCGGTGTTAATGGCGTCAGCGCCTAGTACGGTTACCATGGCATACCTGAGGGAGCGGTCCATCTCGTAGCACGAAGAACCAATATCCGGTGTTACGTTAATGTGGTCATCAACTCAGTGGTAGGCAAAGAAACCGTTCGGGGAGACAGCATTCGTATGGGAGCCGTGAACGTGAAAAATTGCTCCACCAAAAATCTAGTAAAACCTTGGTGAACCGGTCCAACCGAACGGCGCACAGAGCTCGATAACTATCGCGTCTTCTTCCTCCACCCGACCAGCGAACAAGTACACGCTGTTGCTGTGAATGCTGATGTTGCGGAAAACCGTCGCGACGTCACCAGCCATCACAGCAATTTTTGTACCAGGAAAAAGCTTTTTAGCTTTCAAAATCTCGCGAGAGACAGCATCGCAATGGGTGTAATCGGGCTTGTTGATGCTGTTCTGGTCCGTGTAATCATTGACGGATGCGCCCTCCGGGTAGGACAGATCGTGGATGGTACGGCCGGACACTGTGGAGTCTTCTCCACCTTTGTCAACGACGCCAAACGGACTGATGATGATTTCCGGCCACTGCTCCAAGAGGTCGGCGTCTAGTACCAAACATCTCCAGGCCTCTTGCTCCTTTCTGATGTTCTTGCGCAGGATGTTGATCCGCTCGGATGCAGATCCGTGGTTTGGTGGGCGAACAGACTGCTTGGGTGGTGACTCCTTCAGATGAACTTCAACGCCTTTCCGAACAATATTTTGAAGTAGGTCCAAATGGCGGTAACCCTTGCACACATTTTCCAGGACAGACGGCTCCATGTTCTTGTTTGGTCGGTAATCGGCCGCAGTTTGCCCCCGAACAAGCTCCACGAAGTCTGGTAGCGATAAGGCTGACCGTCTTGCGAGGTCTGACAGCGCACGCTGGAGTGGCTTGTTTAGTCGAAATTTCATGCTGGTTGCCCCTTCCCGTGACATAGGGTAGTTATTTTCAGGCAGTGCAACGCCGAACCGAGAGAATACCTTGGTCATTTCCGCTGTACGTAGCTCCCTAATTAGGTCACGTCGCTGTGTAGCATTATCGTGCATCTTGGTCGCAATTTCGCTTGATACGACTGGGCGCAAGTGTTTGGGGATCCTCGCCAATCTGGCTTCTGCAGTGGAGAGTGCATCTTCGGTGGAGAGCTCTTGAATTGAGAGCGCAGACCGTATAGTCAGAGGGTGCTGAATATCATTGGGTGACTGTATGGTCGACCCGGACTGTATAGTCGGAGGGTGCTCTATAGCGTTGGGCGACTGTATGGTCATCCCGGACTGTATAGTCAAGGGGCGCTGTACAGCGTTGGGTGACTGTATGGTCAACCCGGACTGTATAGTCAAGTGGGGCTGTGCAGCCGAGGTGCAGAGGGGAGGTACGCTGGCACCGGAGGTGTGCTTTTCAGAACCTTCGCAAGTCGCCAAATTGGCACGTTGCAGTGGGTTTTCATAGGCAAAATGGCGGTCCGCGGAGAATTTCACTCGCTCGCGCGACGATTTTGGCCCCCGTCGCTTCGCTCCCACACTATCCTTCTCCCCCGAGGACTTCGTCGGAATGTCCACCTCGGGCGCAGACTCGGGAATGTAGATGCTCGTTTCGAGATTTTGGGCAGAACTGCTTGTATTATTCTGCTTAACCTGAACAGCGCACCGAAAGGAAGTCCAGCAACTTTCCTCTCGGCCCCATCACTCGTTATCTGCTAGGTTCACTTCGCGTGTACCGTAGGTTCGGTTGACCCAGTCCTGGAGACGAGATGGTAAGTTGTCCGGCCAGTTGTGCACACGTCGCGTGTTGCCGCATCGACCGCGGGAACCACCCGAGCATGGGAGACCTGCGACGTTGCGAAGACATGGCTCCTGGCCGCGGCGGTTGATCGGAATCAGGCGACGAATTGCGCCAGGGATTGCTGGTGGACGCTCTTGGTCTCTCTTGCCGCTGCTCTCGCGGCCGCGTCTGCTTTCCTCTTCGCTGGCTTGAGTGGCAACGTTCACCAGAGCCATTGTCCACGCAGACGAATGGTACTCAATGCTTCTCAGTGACTCAGTGAAGTTAGCCCACCACATCGGGTCATCCTCTTGAAGGTGGGCTAGAGCGGCACCTGTGAACTTGTTCACGTACATGAGCGTCAGACGCACACGCTGGTGCGTGTTACTTGGGTCAGCAGACTTGTTCTTGGACACAAAAGTGCGGAGCCGAGACGTCAACTTACGCATGTAGTCGTGGCCAAGTGCATTGAGGCCATGAATGCCGTCCAGAATGTCGTCATAAGAACCGCAGTCGATAGTAGAGCTTGGCAGTGTTGCTAAAGGGCTGAAGTCGCTGGAGAAGTTCGCGTTGGTCGAGCCGTCCTCCAAGCACGACATCTCACTCGCCTCTCTGAAGTGCATGATAGTCAGACCTCTTGAACCCAGGCGCCCACTAAAGAGCGCCATCAAAACCGCCGGTGTTGGCTTGAACTTTACGCACTCCAGCTCCCGTAGCATCCGTACAAAAGACATAGGAGACTTCATCTTACCTGGTTCCAGACCCAAGCCACGGAACATGCGACTTGCTGCCAGTAGGTGTGCTTGCGGCGGATTGTACTCACCTTTGGCCTTCTTCGAACTCTCCGGGAAACTTGCACACGTCAGGAAGCGAACATCCGGAGGCGGGAGCTCTCCTTTAGCGTTTGGGACAGTACCGCCACTAGAGGAGACTGTCACCAGAGGAGCTGATGGGCCGGAGCCCCAGCGATGCTCACTCTGGCCTTCCAGCGTACGGAGACGGGCAACTTCTTCTCTCAGCGCCCGTAGCTCTGTCATGATTGACTCGCTGGTGGGCTCCGTCAGCTCAACTGTCGGCTCAGGACGGCTCGGAGCTTGGACTGGCGTTGTTGCAGACGACGCAGTAGCTTCGCTCCGTTCTGGTACTGCTCGAGTCGGCTCGAAAGAAGCCAGGAATTCGTTCAGGTCGAATCCTCGCCGGTCGTTACCCGGCGACTCGGCAGTCTTGGTAGGAGTGCGAGTACGTGCCGTCATTGATGAAGCTGGCGCAGGGGACTTCTTTGCCCTCTTGGCTCGTGGAGGCGCGGGCTTTTCTTCCGTGTCGGGATCGGTCTCGACACCTACGTTCACGGCGCCGCTCTTACTGCTGGAGCTGCCCGTGACTGCAGGCATCGCACGCCCTGCCGACTTCTTCTTGCCCTTGCGGGTCTCGACCATCGCAGTACCGGTTGACGCTCTAGTTGCGGCGCGTTTGCTCGTTCGAAGAGGAGGAGGGTCGACGGTGCTACGGGCAGCGGTGGCCGTCCACGCCTCCTCACCGCCAGTGATATCCACGACGTCGGGGCTTCTTCCATGCATCTCGCTGTCCGAAGAAGCTGTATCGGCTCTGGACGAAGGCGAGGGAGGGGCGGCTGAAGGCGTAGGTGTTTCGCAGGAAGCCATACTTGAGTGCGTAGGGAACCTCCTGTAAATTCTTGAGCTGCCTGCTGCTTGTTCTTCCGATTGCGAAGTGTGAGGGCAGGACACGTGTGGTTCGCAGCGAAGCAGGCAATACCGGTTAGCACTGGTATACCGGTACGTTATCTCGTGTGGAAAACACAATACCCTCGTTTCACTCTGGAATACATCAATTTTAGAGACTCAAGTGTTATTTAAAAGCCCTTGTTAAAAGCAATTGAATAAGGTTACTTTTACAATTTTTTTCGATGGTAGTTTACAAAAGATGTCACAGTTTCGGTTAAGTGCGAAGCTTAATTGGCACTCGAATATCTTCCTGCACCTCAAAATAATATTGATTTATGTTTTCAAAGCTGCATTTTTGAGTGATGATGCCGGGCTTATACTCTACTCGCCGAAGCGCATTGTTGCGACCAGCACTGGCGACACGGGCCTTTTCGTTATCTTCTTTTATCAATGCTGGTGATACCAATGTAGTGCTGACAAGGGAATTCATCTATGCGTCTCTGTACGCGAAGGAGGCAGGATATTTCACAACACAGGAGCGTAATGTGCTGCATGTGCCTACGGAGAGCATCGACTTCGGCAATCTATGGGGTGCCGGTGAGTATCATAACATGGTAGCCGAGTTGTACAAGGAGAGTTCCGAGGCCTGGCTCACGCCCGTGGAGGTGTTTGCGCCATATTACTCGCAGGCACTGGCACGCTACATGCTTAACTCTCCCTTCTTCCGCCAGGAGCTCGAGATCTTTGAAATCGGCGGTGGTTCTGGGTCCAATGCACTGCACATTCTTAACTATTTGAAGGAGCAGGCACCCGACGTGTACGCTAAGACCAAGTACACGCTAATCGAGATCAGCCCTGTGATGGCCGAGAGGCAGCGGAACCGTGTGGCTGTTGTGCACCCAGAGCAGTGCTCGGTCGTCAACCAAGATATCCTAACCCCTCGCAGATACACACGCTCCTGTCAACTCGCAGTGCTTTTTCCTAGCACTCGAAGTGCTGGACAACCTGCCTCACGACAAGGTCACGGTACAGAACGGCAAGTGGTACGAGACGATCGTCAAGATGGGGAGCGAAGCGAATGCCGGCCCATTGCTGGAGGAAGCTATGCGTCCGGTCAAGGATATGCTGATCCGCCAGACACTCCGCTACTTCGGCTGCGAGCTGCCGCTGCGCGTGTCGTACAAGAACAACTTCAGTCTGGCGCAGCGCGTGCGGCGCATGTTGGGCAAAGACGCCCCTGCGCTGAACTCTGCTTTCATCCCGACGGGTGCCATGCAGCTACTGAACACGCTCCGCACTGCCTTCCCCCAAGCACCATCTCATTGCCGCTGACTTTGACTCGCTCCCAGCCCCGAATCTGGATGAGAACTCCCCGGCCAAAGCTATTGAACACCCGCTTAGCAGCACGGCAACATCGTCTGGAGCGCTTTTTGCGGGAAATGCCCCCCTCGTCGCGTCAAAACTCACAGGTATTAAGACCGATCTGTGTTGACTCGTATGATAGTTAACCGTCTTCTCCTCTGTCTGCAGGTGAGACGAAAGACCACGATACATACCTGGTGCAAGGCGGAATCGCCGACATCTTCTTTGCCACCGACTTTAATCGGCTCAAGAAAGCGTATTGCTCGCGCTCGAGCGTCAGACTGACGAGGTACAGTCGACCGTGGCTAAGATGACCCAGATTCAAAAGCTGACGGAGTTTGGGTTTCCTTGTCCGCAGGTTTCGGTCGTCAAGTCTTCCGACTTTCTGAAGGAGTTTGCTGATGTCCAGAAGACCAAGACAATCACGCGGTACGTGGTCGTGTGCTTGCCTCTCGAAAATGTTACAAGTAGTGTGCCATAGCTGACGAATGCTTCTTCGGGGTTGTCAGGTACAACCCGCTGCTGGAGGACTACTCCAACACGAGCTTCATTTTGTCTTAGGACGCACAAGAGCTATGCACTGTGATTCACATATGCAGCGGGTGCAGGAAATGAGCGTCCCCCTGTCAATCATAAACTCAATCACTCATAGCGAACGGTGTAATGGTGGTTTCGATTTTAAAATTACACCATCTCTGCGCAATTGCTTATTGGCTATCTAATTCGTTAATCAGCGAAATGTCATCGCCCCCTAAGTGACACCCGTCTCTTCGGGCAGATTTTCACCAATTAAGGCTGACACCCCTCCGGGAGATGTGCAAAAACGGAAGCTTGCGTCTCTCTGATAAATTATCAGTGATAATTGCGGTAGGGGGGATTGATATTATATATCACTTGAGTAATGGCTCAAGCACTAATACCTCTTGAATAAGTTTGTAATATTATTAAAAGCTGTATTAGTTTGAAAAGAAGCCGAATATAATACTAATATTCGTCGATTTGCTCACGATTGGACAAAATATTCATATGTGACTTCTATTGGACTACAATCTAGGATTTGAGTGTAGCAGCGTGCTTTGCTTCGTTGCGAGCTCACTTCCAATTTCCAGTCCCCACTGAACAATAAGCTCGTCGACGACCGACCGTTGCGTTGTCTGCGGCCGTGATGCTCGCCGGTTACGCAGCCACGGTGTCTACAGTGCGATTGCCCTGGCTGAGCGACATGCTAACGATAGTGATCACTGCTTCTCAGAGCTCGTCTGGGTTGAATGCACAGACGTGTCCTTTATCTCCAATCGAATGTATTACATGTACCACCTTTTACTACTATAAGTAGTACTTTAAAATATTACTACTACGTTTTTATTAGAATTGTTCATGAAAATGATAATTGTTGAGAGTATATTCGCATATATTATACTACTGTAATACTTTCAAAAAAAACATTCTACTATCAATCCTTGGATGTACAGCATACGACATGAAAGTGCATGGCAAGACGAGTTGCTGCTATGATTTCTGATAATATCTTATGTCGGTCGTCAGTGTTGGCTTACGACGTACCGAGCAATATTAAGTTCAAGACAAATGATTTGGCGAACATGCCAATTTGCATGGAGGGTAATACATGTAATATCCGTTCCTTGCATTCCCTCGCCAAGTACTTACCACGAAGCAACTCCTTGTCATGCACTTTCCTGATACGGCGATTTTCATGGATCCTATTGTTACAAATTCATTCGATAACGTGACCTTTTGTAACGGGGTACAATCCAGTGTGCCCCATGTTACATAAAGAGTGACCCGTCACTCTTGTGGATACCTGGTACACGGTACCAGGTGCTCTCGGAGCCAGTCAGTGCATGACTACTTAGCTCCACTATAGGTAACCTCTAGTTTGTATGAGACCCAAGCTTATCTTACTTATAAATACATCAGTCTTAAATCTACTCCTCTAAGTAGCAAACCGTTCCCACTGAGGCCGGGAACACGTGGACTTACGTTAACTCGGGTAGTTAATACCCTTAAGCACTTCCTCTGTGCAAGGTGCTGTGTGACCCCGTCACACTTGGTAGCACTAGTAGTCAATCCAACACCATCGCGGGTAGATTGAACTACCTGAATCCTCTGTGCGCTCAACGTTTGAGCCAAGATGGACCGAAGCGAGTTTCCTCGCTTGAACGACTCACAGTACGAGTCTGTTCGGAAGATGGGAGGCATCTTTGGACAAGATGTCCTTCGCAGCTTGACGGCGGCGACGCCTGCCGAGCAACAAGAACGCGTGACCGCGTTTGAGACCTACGAGCGTGGTCTCATCGCTCACGTCCGCGGGGGCTTAGAGGCCACGATGGCCGCTCCCCAGGCAACCAGGCCTAAGCCGGTGTGGCTGAAGGTCCCCGCGTTTGAGGGGAAGGAAGGAGAGAACCTTCACTTCTGGGTCCGTGAGGTGGAGATCGCCATGAAGGCGGGTCTCATCTCGGACGAGCCAGTTCGGGTGGCGTTTTCCCTGTCCAACCTTGGTGGACGTGCCAAGCACTGGGCATACACCAGGGAGACGACATCTCCTGGATGCTTTGCATCCTGGGCTCAGCTGTGTGAGCAGCTTCGAGCCGCGTTCCTACCGGCGAACAACGAGTTCCGCCAGCGCTCACGCTTTCTCGCGTGCAAGCAAGGTAAACGTGAGCTGCAGGCGTATGCGCAAGAGATGCGCACGTTGGTGGCATCTCTGGCAGGGAATCCTCTGCCCGAAGACGTCAAGACAACAGTCTTCATGGACGGCCTGAAAGTCGGTCCTGCTCGCACCCAGCTATTCCGGGTGCAAGCGACAACTATGGAGGAGGCGATTCGAATCGCCCTCCAAGAAGAGTACAGCCACAAGCAGGCTGGTACTCTTCGGGAAGAAGAACATCGCCACGATGAGAATGGCGTTCCTCGGGAGGCGGAGCATCGCAGCAATGACGCTGTTGCTCCTGCTGTCACGCAGCCCGTCGATACCGGTGCGTACAGCGAGCCCGAGCCCATGGGCTTAAGCTCAGCCGAGAGCTTGGTCCGCTGCTATGGATGCGGCGGACATGGACACTACCAGCGTGTGTGTCCCTCGCTAGTCCTCGGGAAGAAGACGGCCCGTGGGCCCCAAGTCCGGTGGCGCAGGCCACGGCCAGGTGGACGAAGACTTCCCGGCCACCAGTAGAGGCGGTATGCCCTACTGAAAAGCGCTAAGTCTTTGTGATGGGTGTGCAGGTTGTGCACACCACGGGACTTAGCCCAGAGAGACGTGGTTCTCTCAAACCGGTGAAGGGCAGTGATGGGCTGCTGGTAGTACACTCGGTGTACGGGGATACGGTACCCCTTGAACGTTTGATGAGTTCTGGGGCGTTGATACGCCGCCGGAACGTCGCTTGGCATAGCGACATCCGACTGCACTCTATGTCAGAGTGGCGGTCATGGGCTGGTCCTTGATGGACTAGCCTTTGGTACGGTAGTATCAATGGTCCTCAACGGACCTGAACGTTTCGGCTCGATGAGCTCGCGCACCGCGGTGTCGCTCGCAGTTCTCGCCATGAACAACATGGCTGTGCCGAACATAAGGCACAGCCCGGACTTTGGTGTGGCAAGGCTGAGAAGGGCCTACCAGTCCAGGTCTATGACGGAGCATTGTGAGTCATGTTCCCACCTCCGTCATGACTGGGGCGTCTGATACAGACCGCCAGGACGCAGAAGCGTCACGGAGCTGTCAACGCGCCGACAGCTCTGCGTACAGCAAGACCATGCTACGCTGCGGCAATGCTACGGGCATGGGTCTTTTGCCCGGCGTGTGGACCTGCTACAACAGCAGCGTCCAACGCCGAAGGTCGTCGCGCCGTACGGGCTTCGACAGTGGTTATGTCTTTAAGCGCTAACCAGGTGGGTAACTTAGGACCACACGGTCGCCCAGACCTTAACTGAAGAGGAAGGCGCTGAATGCGCTTCCTGTGTGGATAAGACAGTACCACACGCAGTCGCCCAGACTATAACTGAAGAGGAAGGCATGACCATGCTTCCTGTGTGGATAACACAGTACCACACGCAGTCGCCCAGACTATAACTGAAGAGGAAGGCATGACCATGCTTCCTGTGTGGGTAACACAGTACCACACGCAGTCGCCCAGACTATAACTGAAGAGGAAGGCATTGTCCATGCTTCCTGTGTGGGTAACACAGTGCCACACGAGGTCTCGAGTGCCTCTGATGTCGTCAACGAGACATCACGACGTGGGTAACGAAGTGCCACGTCACGTCAGCCGCCGCAAGTCGGGTCTGAACCTTGTTCAGGCCGACGTCGCTTCAAGCGACTCGGAGTCCAGGGCCCGAACTCCTCTGACTCGGTCGGTGGACACCAACTCTGTCCGGTGTGTGGGCGGGTCTGCCACACCAGCCGATCCCAACACCGAAGGTCGTCGCGCCGTATGCGCTTCGACAGTGGTGGTGCCTAAGGGCATTCACCAGGTGGGTAACATAGGTCCACACTGCGGGTAACAAGTTCCGCAAGCAGTGAAGCTGCTTAAGGAGACCGACATTCGGTGCTCCGGGCGTGGGTAACAAAGTTCCACGCAAGGTCACTCAGACCATAACTGATAAGGAAGTCGCTGTATGCGCTTCCGGTGTGGGTAACAGAGTTCCACACCCACGGCGAGTAACATAGCGCCGCACACAGAGCCATTGGCTCGAGGCGCGAGGTTGTCTTGGCCTCGCCAGACATGAGCAACTCGCTCGACGTCAAGTCGCGCAGACTCAAACTGCTGACGCGAAGGCTGAATGCCTTCAGTCGACACGGCCGACGCGGTCGGCCATACCGACGCAGTGCACATGGCGGAGAGCCGTTGCGCCTGCCAGTGGCTATTAGAAGCCACGAGAGACTCAGTAGTCTCGAGGTTAAGTGGGGGAGAGGCTCGGAAATACCTTTCCTCCCTGACTTTCCAAGAGGCAGGTAGCCGTCGTGCTGCCAGTGGCTATCACAAGCCACGAGAGACTCAATAGTCTCGAGTGTAAGTGGGGGAGAGGCTCGGAAATACCTTTCCTCTCTGGTCTTGAGGTAAGACCAAGTTCCTTACGGAACCAGGCGTCGATGTACATCGACTGCAGGCTGGAGGCGAACAGCCGGGCTAGAGCTGCGGTAGCTCTAGCCGAACAAGACATAGTGGCGAAGAAAGCCACGGGCGCAAGGTGCCTCGGAATCGCTGAGCGAATCAGCAGTGTTGGGGTTGCAAGCAACCACACACGAGGCGAAGCGCGGGCCTAGTGTAAGTCCCTTGGTCATGAACGACCTGTCGAGTAGGGTGAACGGAACGTCTCACCCGCCGACAAAGCGGTTGCGGTACGTGATGTACGCAACGCGCCGTGTATAATGGGCCGTGGAGCCATAACCCAAGTGTGGTGCACGAGTGCACACACAACTGACCAGGTGGTGGTCGAGGCAAGGCACGCAGTCGTAACTGGTGCCGCGCCGAGCATGACACCGTGGCGACGGCAGCTTGCCTCACCATGGGTTGGTACCCGTGAGTACTCGGTGTCAATGCCAGACA